CATCATTATCTTTACCATTACCACTATTATCATTATTATTTTTGCATATTATTACCATTGGGTTTGATATCATTGTTATTATTATTATTATTACTATTATTAGCATTATAACCATTATTATTATTAATATTACAATTAGCATCATTATGATACTTTTTGCTAATAATAACACGAAAGGTTTGTATATTTTTTGTCAGCATTGCCCATGCTCTTAATAAATATTACTATCATCAACAGTAAGAATACTTTACTGTTATCACAATATCCTTACTAAGTTACGTCTGCCGGTTAGTACAGGTTAGATTTATTAGATGATAAAATGTGCCACTTGGAAAAGAAGCGAGATTGTTCAGCGGTGCACGATAGCAATGGAAAGGCACTGCCAAGTAAGGATAATGAACATGAAGTCAAGACGAAGTCAAAATTTGCTTTATTTTTTATCAATTTATCATATGTTTATTGGCATTCAGTTGTTGCAATTCGTATAAGTATAGTATATATATATTCAAATATAAATATCTATGTATACATACATATACATATATATATATATATATATATATATATATATATATATATATATATAGAGAGAGAGAGAGAGAGAGAGAGAGAGAGAGAGAGAGAGAGAGAGAGAGACAAATATGAATATGTGTACACACACACACACACACACACACACACACACACACACACACACACACACACACACACACACACATATATATATATATATATATATATATATATATATATCATATATATACACAAATATATATATATAAATATATATATATATATATATATATATATATATATATACTTATACATAAATATATATATATATATATATATATATATATATATATATATATATATATACTTATACATAAATATATATATATATATATATATACCACCGAAAGCTCCCGCATAAATTTGCTCTTGACTGAACAGCCGTTATTCCTCCCCCTTCTGCCTCTAGTCCTCCCCATCTTCAAACCCTTAATTATTTTCTCCGTCGCCAAATGATTTCCCTAACGGCCTTTATCAACTTCCTTCAATTTTATACTTCGCCTCTGCCTCATTCCGCAAGTGCTTCTGTGCAACACGAAATCAAATACAACACAGAACAACATCGAGAAAACTGTCGTGAAGTATTTCGAGAATGCCGCTGACAGAAGGGGGGGGGGGGATGCCTTCGCTTCGCACAGGCGCGTCCGGGGCTTGAAAAACTCTTTTCCTTTGCTCGTGTGGTTTCTTATGGCATTAAAACGGCGCAAGCGAGGCTCTTTTATTCAGTGTCATCCTATACTTTTGACAGTATTAGTACTTATATAGTAATATGTATATATATATATATATATATATGTGTGTGTACACACACACACACATATATATGCATATATATATACATACATACATACACACACACACACACACACACACACACATATATATATATATATATATATATATATATATATATATATATATACATATATACACATATATATGTATATATATATATATATATATATATATATATATATATATATATATATATATATATACATGCATAAATATACATATATATATGTATGTATGTGTGTGTGTGTTTGTGTCAGTGTGTGTGTGTATGTGCACACACACACACACACACATATATGTATATATATATGTATATACATATAAAAGCATATATGAACACACACACACACACAAATATATATATATATATATATATATATATATATATATATATATATATATATATATACATATAAAAGCATATATGAATACACAGACACACACACACACACACACACACACACACACACACACACACACACACACACACACACACACACACACATACACACACACACACACACATACACACATATCTATTTATCTATCTATATCTATATTCATCTTTCTCTCTCTATCTTTCTCTCTTTCTCTCTTTGTGTATCCCTCTCTGTTTCTTATTCTTACTCCCCCTGTCTTTCATTCTCAATCCCAATCTCTCTTACTCACTCTCTATTTTCCTCTCTCGGCTTAAACGCAAACAAGGAAGCAGCTACACCATTCTTAACATCAACAAAAGTCTGTTGTCAAACAGTTGAAGGCTAACCACCCCCTCCCTCCCTCCTTCCCTCGTGTTTACCGAAGTAACGATGTACTTGCGTCATTGTTTCATCTATGTCCTTCTGAGCTACTGTTCACAAGCCTCACTTTGTCACCTGATTTTGCGCGTTAAAGATGGTGCTACTTTTTGCAGTCTTTTGCGTTTGCGCCGTGGCTGGGGAGCCCGCTTTTAAGTTTGTGAGTTTATTTTTATGTTAATAATGTTTAATGTCACGGTACTAGCCTTCGATGTTAGATTTTTCGATGCATTTTAATTATTGCAAGATTTAGAATCTTTGGTGTGGTCGAAATATAAGAATGTATAGTTCAGTATAATACTGTCTATATTTTGTAGTCATTGACTTCTAGTTATTAAGTAAAAAAAAAAAAAAAATCACAGAACATTTCTAAATCAGACAACCCGAGAAAGTACAATTCTTTTCGTTTCCAACACTGACCTGTAGCGTTTTTTTTTTAATGTTATTGTTTTTTTCATATTATTTTCTATCTGTGTGTGCAAATATTGAAAATATCTTACACTTTTCCGCAAACCTTAATTGACTTTTTTTTTCTTAATTGATTCTTTTGTAATCTTCTATCAGATAGGATTTTAAATAGGACTTCTAGAAATATGTTTGAAAATTTGATCGGATTTCTAATAGAATATCAGAATGTTTACTGGATTTTTCGTAGAATCTTAGTAATTGAGAATATCTAATCTTTTATTTTCGATTATTAGACTTATTGTATCTCAGAAAATACGAATTCACGAATTCACTCCGTTATTCAGTGCTAAGAACATTTTATTTTCGAAATCATATACTAACGGGTAAGCTTCCATGATATTACTGTGTGGATTTGTGGATATTTGTTGTTCGCGTGAGTGTCGTGTTTACTTCTTTATTCCGACGTTTAGATAAGAACAAACCTTGAACATCGCGTGTTATACTTTCAAGGTCATCCTGAACCCCTTAATAAGGATAACTCTTTTTCTATCCACCTCAGCAAAAAAAAAAAAAAAAAAAAAAAAAGTTATTTTCTGTGGCCCTTATGGCAGCTGCAACTATCGCCTTGCATTCCTTCAAGAAATCTAAAGGGGCTTGATTATCTTTCATCTCTAGTTTAAATAGAGCCTTTGTTTCGGCAACATTCATCGTCCTTCCTAACTTATCCGACGCATAGTTCGTACATTGAAATAAAGGTGTTCATATTTGAAGGATGTTATAAATTATCTTCATGCCAAAGTGTAAACAAATCATCGAGACAAAAATATAAAACAAATTGAGGGTTAACTGTACCTATATCAATTATTGATATAAAACTATTACACAGAGTCACGAAATATTGTACACTACTTATTTTTTATTATCATTTTCTTTATGTTTTCTTTTTTGTTTCGATTTATTGCTTTGACGGATAGGTACTCTACACCTGGTCGATAATTAGTAATTAATAATAATAATTGTGTTTATCCATGATGCTTGTGATAATGAGATAATGAGATGTCCCTTTTCCATCCCACAATGTGAATATTAGTTGTGATATCGTAATCATAAATAATTGTACGGAATTAATTATAAATCTATTGTGATGTTTGTTATACGGTTTCCTAATTTCCTAATTGCTCTAATTAACATTGGAAAATGATGACTGCCATTTGAAAGCTTCTTTGACATATAATTCAAAGCTGGAGTCAATAGATTTTAAATTCTTTCGTTTGTTAAACCCTTAGTATTAAATTAATTCAACGCTCAGTAAAGTAAAATGATAAATAGAAGTCTCCAAATTGTTGTCATTATTACTGCATTTTTTTCTAACTTAATAGATTAAGTTAGAAAAAATGCAGTAATAATGACAACAATTTGGAGACTTCTATTTATTATTTTACTTTACTGAGCGTTATTTCAAAATCTAGAACACTTCCCCGTTACTATTATTCAAATTCTATTCAGAACCGTTCATTCAACCACGTGGATTTGTTTACTATAATTCCATTCGGCCGCTTGAGCTCCAGTCGTTGGAGGTCGACCTTGACTTGGAATTTGTGTCGCCGACTGCAGTCACGAGGGAGAAGGGGGTCGGGCATGCATGGAGGGTAAGCAGGTTGATGTTGAAAGGCTGTTCCACGCATGTTGACTGCAGCGTTCAGCCCTTTGGCAATAATGACTGATAGATGTTATCCCTTTTAAACAAGGCGTGGAAATACTTATCTAACTAATAATAGAGTCCATTCTAAATCAATGGATATATTCATATATCCCATCTGAATATTAGATTTGTTTCACCTCCGAAAAGAAAAGAAAAATACATCCCTTTTGTTGTCAAGTCTCATCACATCCTCACCGTTGATAGTGTAAATCGTACTACTTGGGAGATCAGGGTTAATCAGACACTAGGTCACGCAACGGCACAAAGCTTGGAGTCATTAGAGAAAATCCACTGATTGAGATCGTTACAAAAATCCCAGTTTCGGAAAAATGAAATCCTGCAGCCCGTGCCTACTAATATAAGTGTTGTGATTATATCTGTGACATCTGAGGATTCTTAAGTTATAAAACACTGAACAACTGATAATATACTAAAAATAAATAACTGAAGAGATTGATCAATATTACTGAACAGAGCGGGGAACGAAAACATCTCCTTTTAATGTTCAGTATAAACTTTATTCTCATGAACTTAAGATATTACAATTTCTATTATCTTCTACGAAATCCCCAAAATTCATCATTCTTATCAATCGCTATCCTCACAAAAACTGCCATTTGGAATTCCTTACATCTAAACTGTGTTTGTTTAGAGGAAACGAATTTTATGTTTTACAGGATTATATAACAGGTTACATACACTGTATGTAATAATTTGTAAATTATATGATTGAGTTTATTTTCCAGGACTGGATACCTCCCCTAAAAGTCATTTCTCATGGACTCCCTCGTGGTAAGTGTCTGCCTGTACATACATACATACACACAAATACATACACACACGCATGCATACATAAATACGCGCGCGTGCACACACATACAACACAACATACACATGCACACAACACAACACAACACAACACAACACAACACAACACAACACAACACAACACAACACAACACAACACAACACAACACAACATAACACAACACAACACACAAACAAACAAACATACACTTTACCATGATAAAGAGACTATATATGTTGTAGCTGCCATCAATATTATTTCTGTTGTTACTAAATACGAAATGCAATCGTATGAAAATTAAATGAGAATTTCTTTTCAGCTCAGGCGCGTATCGTGGGTGGTGTTGAAGCCGAACCACACAAACACGGATATCAGTCTGCTGTGATTCGAGGTAGATATTTTATCTGCGGAGGAGCTGTTATCAGTGAGTACTTTGTGCTGACTGCTGGCCATTGCGTGAAAAGGTAAGTTTATAATATAGTAATGATAATAATAATAATGATAATGATAATGATAATGAGGATAATGATACTACTACTACTACTACTACTACTACTAACAATAATAATAATAATAATAATGATAATGACAATAATAATGATACTACTGCTATTACTACTATTATAATTATTATACCAAAAAAATATAATAGTAATGATAATTATAACAAAAAGTATAATGATAATAATAATAATAATAATAATAATAATAATAATAATAATAATAATAATAATAATAATAATAATAATAATAATAATAATAATGATAATAATAATAATAATAATAATAATAATAATAATAACAACAATAATAATAATAATGATAATGACATTAATAATGATACTACTGTTATTACTGCTACTAATAATAATTATAAAAAAAATATATATATAATAGTAATAATAATCATAACAAACAGTATAATAATAATAATTATAACAAAAAGTATAATGATAATAACAATAATGATAATAATAATAATAATAATAATAATAATAATAATTATAATAATAACAATAATAACAATAATAATAATAATAATGATAGTGACAATAATAATGATACTACTGCTATTACTACTAATAATAATAATGATAACAAAAAAATATAATAATAATAATAATTATAACAAAAAGTATAATAATGATAATTACAACAATTACGATAATAGTGATATTAACAATAATAGTAATCATAATATTGTTATTATCTATGATAATAATGACAATAATTACTGATAATAGTAATGATAATGATAATAGGCGCCCATATTGCTCTTTCTAACTTTTTGATGATTAAGGAACACTCCTGTTACAGTTTTCCTTTATTCCTTTTCGTCATTCAGTTTACAATATTATATTCCAGTGTTCAGTATCCTACAGACAATGTTACAAAGTACTGATAGCATTCGTGCCCTTGCAAATATCGCATTCACAAGTCTTATCTTAAATGTTAAAAATTCGCAAAATATTCCTGAGTGAATTACTCATCTTAATGACAACAGTTATTACCCTAATATACTCCTCTACACCATACTCACATGCTATCATTTATTATCAATCACTTTAATAACTGTCATTTCCACATAAGAGAATCAACTTTAACACAGGTCTAGTCATAAAAATGTTTTCTATATTTGACAAAAAACATTTCTTACTATTTCATTCTTACATTGCAACTATGTTAAATTTTATTTAACCATCATTACAATATCTCCTACAGTTAAATTTCTACCTTTCATATACCCTCTTTTGCGCCTTTCCTGTAGATATCTGATGATATCATTAATAATGATAATAATAATAATAATATTGATAATAATAATGATAAATATAATAATCATTTATAACAATGGAAATAATAGCAATAGTAATAATTCAAATAATAATGATAATGATAATACTAATGATAATAATTATAACGGTGATGGTCATGATATACTTTGTATATTTTATTCTCCTTTTTTCTTCTTCGTCATAATCATCACATACTCTCCTTTCCCTTCCTCATAACTGACTTTCCTTTTTCCCCTTTTTTAGTAGGAGAGGAAGGTACTCGGTACTTTTGGGCAGCCACAATCTAAAAACCGCAGAGGAATCGCGTCAGATAATTGCCGTAGATGAGGTTCATGTGCATCCTGATTTCGATTTGGATGACACTATTGTGCTCGACATTGCAGTCTTGCAATTAAAGACGAAGATTAAAATGAACGGTAAGTTGTAATATATATATATCTTTTTATGTGTATGGTTGCGGGTGTAAATGTTTGTTTAGTTTGTTTGTTTGTGTTTGGTTAGGTTAGGCTGTGTGTGTGTGTGTGTGTGTGTGTGTGTGTGTGTGTGTGTGTGTGTGTGTGTGTGTGTGTGTGTGTGTGTGTGTGTGTGTGCGTGTGCGTGTGCGTGTGTTTACATATGTGTTTGCATATTTTGCGTTCATACACGTGCTTCCGTAAAAAAAATCAATGAAATACGCTGTCTACAATAAAATAAAATAAAAATACATATGCAGTTGAAACAAAAAAGAAAGAAAAAAATCGTTACCCATCTCAGAAAAGGTCTTCCCCCTTAACCTGCCGGAGAACAACGTGTATCATGGAATGCCCTTGGTGATCACTGGCTGGGGCGTCACCAGTAAGTAATAGTATATCTACTAAAAAAAAGAAAGAAAAAGAAAAGAAAAAACAAAACTTCTTTTCTCCTCCTATTTGAATCTGAAAATCAATTCCTTATCGTCTTTTTACCCATCTTTCTTAACAGAAGAATTAGTTTCTTATCATTTTACCCCAATTTTTTTCATATGAGAT